TATATATATATATATCGGATCCGTGTATCAATTAGATTAATCTTTAAAAAATATCGATCTAATATAGCAAATAAAGTCTGAAAAACAATACTGAGCGCAGATTAAATTGAAATATTTCATGTTATTTGATCCGGAATTATAATGGAGAGTAATAACATGCAATTATATATTAAAAGGAAAGCGATGTGCGCGCGCGGTGCGTTCCTTCCGGTATTATTCGATTCAGATGAAAATATATATATATATATATATATACACACACATATATATATATATATATATATATATATATATATATAAAAGAGACAATAATAACGTATAATTACACGAAAGATTAAATATAATATCCGAAGATAAAGACGAACGGAGCGGAGAAGGATGAAGGGGAGGAGATTTCTCAGAACGCGTTTCACGAAATGCAATTTGCAGCGTTTTATCGCGCTATATACCGTTCACGCTACCGCGCGCGCGCGCGCGCGCGCAATTACAGACGCGTTTCGTCGCACACTTACAGAGCACGGTGAGATCGACATGCGCCTTCATGGGCTGCACGCTCATGATGTTGAAGACCTCGCATCTGTAGCGGGCCTTTTCGTCTTCCGCGCGCACTTTGAACGAGAGCACGCTCTCGCTAAAGCTGTTTTGAATCCGAGTAGTCGTCTGTATCTTCTTGTCGTTCTTGTACCAGATAATTTCCGCCGGTGGATTTCCGCCCCGCGATCGACAGGAGAGCTCCAAGTACTGATCGCGCTGCACGGTCTCGCCCTCGGTGTAACCCTCTATGTAAGGTGAACCGGGTGGATCTGCGGGATCATCAATTCTCGCCATTACGCGAATGCGTTTAATGAAATTTTGTTTCAAGGCGCGTCCGAATAATCGAAACTGCAATAGTCGCTCTCGAATAACTCAAAGAATATGAAAGCAAAAATTATGCAATGTACATAAAAAAAATCTATAAAAAAAAAAGGATTTTTCTTGACAAATATGGATGGAACTGTAAAAATTTGTATTAATTTTTTTTCTGAGTAAAAAGAAAAAATCAATAAATTAAGAGGAAATCTATTTTTATTTAAACGATATTTAACAGACTGCAAAAATTAAGGATTAATGACGACTTCGTTCTTTCGGTAGTTTCGTTATAGCCCGGGTTGTGTAATTTCACAACCTGTTACTCTTTTTGACGCATATCGATGTATATCGGGCGTATGCTGACGTACACCGCAACGTAAAAAAAAAAAAAAACACGATCACGCGAGCGCGCGCACGTTTTTTTTTTTGCGACGCACGTGTCAATGTCAGTCGCACTTACAGTAAACGGAAAGGTGAACGGTGGCCCGCATGGGTCTGTCTATGGGTATCGCCGGGTGGCTGGCCTCGCAGGTGTAATCCATCCCATTATCGTCCGCCGTAGGCGTGATGGTAATGGAACCGTGAGTGTCGTACTTGAGCAATTCCCTCGACGTTTCTCCGGGCTTGATCGTCTCCTTGTCTGCAACATTGTCCGCGCAAATTGCGAAATAAATACCACCTGCCGCCTGCTTTTACTTTATAGCCGTGAAATTGACACACGGGGTTTTTGTTCTGATTATTATATGCTATACGCGCGTATTATTTTAGGGTAAAATAGATGAGAGCGTAAATTGCGCTTTAACAAGCTGTTATTCGAACTATCAAGGTTTGCCGAAATATTGCGCGGCAACGTTTATAAACATGCTGTGTCTCTCGCATTCCTTTTTTTTTTTGCTTATTAGTTTATTTTATATCGCGTGTATCGTTTTGTGTAGCAAAATAGTCGCATCGCAGTGAAATATGTTTCGAAATAAATGTTTATATAAGAAAACTTATAAATTGAATATAATACGATTCTTGATCCAACGACATTTTAATCACGTTTGGTTATTTGCATTCGAAAAATATACAAGGTGTCGAATTGGAGAGACTCGCGAGAGACGGCTGAATTATTTATAGATGTAACGTAACGCGCGCGCACAACCGAGAATATATACATATATAATTCACATTCAAGTCGAAATCATCACGACGGGATAAACATACACGCGTATATTATTTGCAACGCGCGTGCTCCTTTTTAAATCTTCACTAAAAGCTCCGGACAAGCTTTTACGCGAAAGCGTGGTGTTTGAGCTCTTTATTTCGTGCGTGTGGCGGTGACACACAGTTTTCGGAGACGCGCCGCAGATACAAATGCTTTCGTCTATCAACGGTGACGTGGTCTGACCGAATGCGTAACGGACGGAGAAAGATTGTCGTTGGAGTAACGAGCGAGAGAGAGAGAGAGAGAGAGAAAGAGAGAGAGAGAGAGCAGGATGCAAGCTTTATTACAAAGGAAATGACGACAGTCGCATTTCACTTTTGCGTTCTACGCTGTTTACAGCTTTACCGTGAACAAAGTTATAAAACTACACAACTGTTTATTTTAAACAACATATAAAAATAGTCTTTAAAATTTTACTGAAGAAATACGCAATAAAAAACTAATTAATGGTAATTAACTTTTTTGATATTAATTTTCCTCCTTCGTTATCCATTAAACGATTAATATTTTATAAACAATTTCTGCGTCTGTTGAATATTCATTTGCTCATTTCCCGTGAATAGCATGGGATTTCTTTTTCTTATGCATCATACTTCGCGAAAACTTTTCTTATCTGCTCGACTTCCGCGCGAGCTTCTCCGCATCCGCAGAAATTCGATCGTGTGTTTATTTTATGAACACCCCGTGCATAGCGAGCGCACACACCTTTTCATTTCGGGTCGCGCTATTTATCGGAGTTCTTATCGGGGGATATATATATATATATACATATATATTTTAACTCCACGTCGTGTGGCGGTATAAACGGACCGGCCGATGCAATCGTTTGATGTCTCGTCGAGCTGTCTCCGGCCGAATGTAAAAACGCAAGCGGTGGCGCGAGCGAGAGACAGGAACGTCAATTTCGGTAGTTGGAGCGCGGCCAGAGTTGTGTGTCATGGGATCGATCGAAGATGCTCTTGGCAACTGGAAGCCGTGCTGGAACGAGGGTGAAAGAGAGAGAGAGAGAGAGGGGGGGGGGAGAGAGAGAGAGAGAGAGAGAGAGAGAGATAAAGATAGAGAAAGAGAGAGGGACAGAAGGCGTCTCGACGTCACTCCAATCTTTTTCCCACTTCCATAAACGCGGTAAGCACCCGAGCAGTTTTCCACAAAGTGCGAGATTATTTATTCGTTTCTGAACACCGTGTACAATATCGGACGGATTATTCGCTAGTCTTATATATTACGTGTCTAACTGACAATTAGCGAAGGTTTGAAAAATTGGAAAAACGTCGGTTTTTGAACATTCAAAACATATTAAAGATTCTTTCACCTTTTCTAAACCAAAAAAAAAAAAAACAAAAAAAAACAGGTAAGCAATATTTTCTTTTTTCCGAAAATAATTTGTTTTTAAATAAAAATATACTTTTTTAATAAAAAAAATGTTTTAAGCGTGTTATCGAAATTTATTGGTTATATGTCTGTTTTCTTGAAATTCGATTAGATCAACAATGCCGAAGTTATTAGATCAGAAATGCGCTTCATCACATACACACACATCCTGACGGCGCGCTCGTTTAATCCCTGTTACGTAATAACCATGATATATTCATTCGCGCGCGAGATTATCGTAATCGAATATCAACGCGCGTAACAGGATACCATAGCTACTTACCACCCTGGATGGAGATTGCGGTGATACTGGTGTCGCCACCTTTGATCTGCACGTTTCCGCGGTACCAAATGATCGAAGCGGCCGGTTTGGCCGACCTAACGATGCATTCTAAGCGCCGAGATTCGCCCACTTTCACCACGATCACTTTGTTGTTCGGGTGGCTGCTGATTTCTACTTTTCGCGGAGGCGCTGAAAAAAAATTACGCAAAAAAACCGTTAAAAAATATTTATGACACTTTTAAAATTAGCTTACTACGTAAATTAATTTAATTAAAGGGAGATTTTGTGTTGATGGTTTTTTGTTTTCGCCGTATAGTTTTTAATCACTTAATGACCAAAGTAATTCCTTTTGATTCGATATATATACGGGGTGTCCCAGAATTGGTGTGACATCTCTCGTAGGCAGATAGAAGGAGTAAAACTGGAGTCGAAAAGTCCTGAACATCCATTTTTTTCTATTATTTATAATAAAGGAGTAATTGTTGAGTAAATCAGGCCAATCAGCGCCGATCTTTAGCCACGCGCCTGGTGTGGGCGAGCGGCTCCGCGCGGTTCACCGACGTGCGCCTGGCTAAAGATCGGCGCTGATTGGCCTGATTTACTCAACAATTACTCCTTTATTATAAATAATGGATGTTCAGGACTTTTCGACTCCAGTTTTACTCCTTCTACCTGCCTACGAGAGATGTCACACCAATTTTGGGACACCCTGTATATACATATATATATATAACTTATATATTATATAACTTATATATTATATAACTTATATACTTATATATACTTATATATACTTATATATTATATAACTTATACATTATATATACATATATATATATATATATATATATAATATATAAGTTGTACATAATCCAAGAGATCCAGCGAGAGTAACCCGCACGCTAATATTCTAATTGCGATATAGATTTTCCTTTAATGAAAATGTGCCAAACATCATCGCCGTCGTTATAATCTTTCGTCTTTATAATCTTTTTAATATTCGATATTAAACATCTCAATAACCGAATTCTTAAATTAAGACTCTACTTAAAAATTCACTGCAAGGGTTAATCAAGGAATAAGATCTTCCTACATATCTATTAGCGTATCTCGAACTTTGTCTCACGGAAAAGTGTATTTTCATTAGGACTCGATCGCGCGAAAAAAAAAAAAAACGCTCGCGGCGTTTTACGCACGTATATACTAATCATTTTGATCGAATAGCGTCTTAAATCATTGATTCTCTGATAGAGATGATCCCTCTCCCGTGATTTCGTCTCTTTACGATCTGACGGAGTCGTGAAAAAACACCGGCGATCACATCAGTCAGACGCGGTGATGTTCGGTTAAAATATGCCACACATGGGCGGTTTCAAAAATACACTTAAGCCGTTAAATCATCGTTCCGCGTAAATCGTACACACAGATAGATTTTCGGACAGTGCGTGATAAACGACGCAATCTGCTGATTTCGAACGATCCGGGCGTTTGCGTTTCTGTTTTATAACGAGTTATCTGTCTTTCTCTCTTTCTCTCTCTCTCTCTCTCTCTCTCTCTCTCTCGTATGTGTCTCCCAATTTCTCTCCACACTCACGAGTTAATTTAATGTCAGAATAGTGTGCGCGCGATTTATCGCCGGATTCTATTAAACACATACAGAAAGCCGTGAATCGTTCATTCGGCGCAATATAATTATACACGAGGTGTGGCTCTTTGCGTAAGTGCGTGCAGCTCGCGCTTAACTGCATCGAATTGCTCCCACTTAGATGCAATCACGCGGAGAAGCGTATATTCCTCTCTCCGGAGTGCATTCCGTCGAAATAAGGAGATTACGAGGACGATAGCATGACGCTACTAAAAAAAAAAAAAATAACAGAATGTTTTTCTTCGATGATCCAAGTTGAGTGAAGAAAAAAAGTCTCTCTGGAATGCATTTAATAATAATAATATCTCCGGAAATATTAATTTATGCAATATATATTTTCTGTATCTATAAAAGTATACAAAATGGAAACGAGATGATTGTGGCAAAAATTATTACTTGTATATATTTTATATAATTGCGTAATATTTCTTTAACAAGATTATTTGATGGAATGACCTTTCGAAACAATGGAAAGTGAAAAGCGAAGAGATTCATTAACGCAATGGAGCCATTAATTGCAATTTAATGATTATAGTCTATTGACCTCTATTTTCATCGTGGACAATGCAGTTTTTTTTTTGTTTTTTTTTTGTTTTTCGATTTATTGCAAATCTATTACAAATTGAAAAGCTGCCACTGAAACATGTTGTTGACGGCTACTTGTGCGCATCCATTCAACCTTCCCTCGCATTCGGATCGGTCGACGTGGTGTATCAATTCGCTATTCAATCATTGAATGCGAAGTGTGTTTTTCATGTAAAATAACTTGTACAAATAAATAAAATCTGCATTATGAAAGTGCCGTTATTTTGCAGGAAAATTGTCGCGTTTGCCGTTAATAACGTGCTATTCAGCACAATATGGATGTTACATATACATATATATATATATATATATATATATATATACATTACATAGGCGTTGAAAAAGTTTAAAATTTTAATATTATGCACGTGATTGTGAAAAATTTTTTACGTATACGTTTAATTGAAGAACTTTAGTAGGTAAAAATTAATGAAGCAATTTAATCGACGAAAATTTGATTTTTTTTTTTTTGGGCAAAAGAATTTAATTTCGAGACACCGGCATAAATTTAATCAGGAGTTGACAGAAGTTTAATTAGTTAAAAAAAATTGACGAGAGGAAGAGATCGCGACGGAGAATACACGTGTGTATATGTTACACATGCATGTTTCGCGCTTTGCGCGGTATGAAAAATGTTTCGCTTCTGCTGGGAGATGGCAGGAATGCTCCTCGCTTCTCTTTTAGAAAAATTCGCTCGAGCGACACAATTGTCGTTTGTGTATAAAAGGAAGAGGCCCTCGATCGGGAGACCAAATACATTTACGCGCGAACGGTTCCATTTTTACGGTACGCTTCGCGTAAGAGACACTTTATACATATATACGTCGACGACAACGTCGACGACAACGACGACGACGAAGAGGAGGAAAAGGGCCGCTGATGCTGGTTATCCGGGGCCGCGCCACTGTCTGCCTCTACGAGTTTATATTGGCAGTCGCTCGGAAATCCTCCGGGAGATGCACGCGCCGAGGAGAGAAGCTAACCTACAACACCGCCGAGCTATCCGGAAGCTACTTCGTCACCGCGAAGCCCCGATATAGCGGCATCGCAGTCGACGCAGTTGCCGATCGGGCGCGCTCTACGGTCGGGACCCATTACCGGTCCGAGATAAATTTTCCCACTTCGATATCCCCCTGGGCGCATTCGTGAGGGTCGCGTTCGTCTTCGGACCGTATAGAGCCCGTGTTCCGCTACGATGCACCGGCGGCGTCGATATAAAGCACGCGGTGAATGCACCCACAGAGACAAACGCAATAGGTAATGGTCGTTACGCGTGCGTTTCCTGACGGCGGTAACTGGCGAGCATTGTCACAGCAGTTGCTTTTCTCTCTCTCCCTCTTTCTCTCTCTCTTTCTCTCCCTCTTTCTGTACCTTATTCGTTGCCGAGAGAAATTGCTCTCGATGCCGTTTTCAACACTTAAACGCGATACGTGGTATTGTGGTCTTTGTGTTTTTGATACGCGAGTATATCGGAACTCTTGGTCTTGGGATTCTCTTGAAACTCAGCCATTGAGTAAAAATAATTTTGTAATCAAAATTTGTTTTATTCCCGTACATACTACATATGTTATAAATTAAGTTCCAATAAAAAAAATCTAAAGAGATTTTAATTATCTTACATAAAGTATTTAAATGTTTTAAACAAAATTTTTGATTTCTTCCATTTATTTGTTTATACATTATAAAAATGATAAAAAATTGCTTTTATTTATTTTTTATTTATTTTTTTTTTAATTGAAATTTTATTTTTTAAAAATATTTTTGTAAAAACAAATATTGGAAATATCTGTTATTACATCATAAAATGCGCCGCATAACTATTGAATACTTTGAAGCTAAGCTCTGTGATAAATTTTGTGCGTTGAGAGTTTAAACGCAAGTTTTCATATATATATTCAATATTGCGTATCTCTCTTGCCATTTAAACCTAAAATAGCGGAAGCTTCGGGCCGAGAATATAGAGAAGAGGCAATTACTGTTGATACGCGGAATAAAATGTTATTACTGTAATAGAGGGAACCGAATTAAATTCAAATTAGAGTGTGTGAGAATGCGATAGTTAACATATTCTAACGCGCATATAAACCGGTCCTGGGAAATCTGCGTCGCTATACTTGCGCGCGCAACGTAAATACTAATTTTTCCGACGCGGAACCTTATCTCGCACGTCGTCGACTTTAATAAAAAAAAAAAAAAAAGAAAAACCTCGTAACGAACCGCCGCTCGTCATTTTATGGCGTAAAAGAAAATGAAACACTTACCGATAATTTAATGAGACGCGATGCGATAATTCATCAGCATAGGATAAAATTTATGAGAGACACACCTTTGATCACAGCGAATCACGATCATCCGTTAAAAGATCACTCCTGTGCAGATATTGCTGCGGATATCCGGAAGCAATTTCTCAATTATGTCATTAATTAAATGATCTCCCAGATAGATATTCGATATTCTAATGTTCCAAAGCAGAAAAAAAAAAAACAAAAAAAACAAAAACGCACTTCACAAGTGTAATTAGATCGCGTGAATTATAATCGATGTGGTTGTGCAAATGTGATCGAGCTCTGGAAAGTTTTATGTGAAAAAACGCAAAGCTTGAACCCCAGCGCGTTTATTTATGTATTTTGTCAATAATATTACCGGCAATGGTGAATTTGCTTTACGCGACACAATACAACCGTTATGTCCTATGGTAATTCCGTGCGGCAACCGCACAAATGGAAAAATTGCATTGTCAACCGCTTTACCCCCTCCCCTCCCCCCCCCAACCCCGATGTTGATTTACCTTTTTTTTTGTTATAAAAATTGTGATTATAAAATTACAGTGTGAACCAAATCGAATATGTGCAAAGTGCAAGCGAAGTTTTTAATAAAAAGTTAAACAATTGCGCGCGTGTGTCTGAAAATATCAAATATGGATTTCCGAAACAATTCGATTCCGGAAATGTTAGTATAT